AGAGAGAGAACCAGCACTGCTGCGACTGGTCACTAAATCCAAACATCCACACGAGACCAATCACAGATCCACCAGTTGCATCCCACAGCAGCAGATAAACAATGTTCACATTTTGTTCTTGAGGCCTCTCAGCTTCTCAAGAAGAAAAAATCCTAAGGAAGGATTTTCATAAAAAGATGTCTGGGACATCCTCCCCTCCCTTCTCCCCCTCCCCAGGACCACCCGGAGCCGGGTGCCCCCCTGGACCCCTCAGGAGGAGCAGGAGCTGCGGGAGCTCTACTGGAAATACAAGGAGATGGAAGGTACTGGGGGGGTCTCTGGGGTCTCAATGGGACCCCTGAGGGGCGGCAGGGGCTCTGTCCCTTCACCCTCGCTGTCCCACAGGTGGGGACATCATCGCTGCCATCCTGGCCCAGCTCCCCTCACCTGGACGGACACGCAGGCAGGTGGTGAAGCAGCTGGTGAGGATGGGTCTGGCCAGCAGTGCCAAGGACTTCCCGAGGGAGAGGTGGGTCAGGGACCCCCCCAGGGACAGGGCAGGGACCCCCAGGGACAGAACTGACCCACAGCTCTTTCCCACCCCCAGGAAAGGCACCCGCATCGTGCTGTGGACGCAGGAGCAGGAGGAGGAGCTGACGCGGCTCTTTGAGGAGTTCCAGGGCTCGGATGGTGAGCTGGACATGAGGGGTAGACCCCAAAAATCCCCCCTGTGGCCTCCCCAGCCTGACCCTGCTCCCCACAGACGTCCTGGGGAACATCATGAAGCACCTGACGGCGCGGCGCTCGCGGGCTCGCGTGGTGGAGAAGCTGCTGGGGCTGGGGCTGGTGGCTGAGCGCAAGGAGCTCTACAAGAAACGCAGGAGGAAGAGCCAAGGGCACGGCCCTGGGCAGGTATGGGGGGCTGGAGGTGCTGGGCTGGGCCCTGGGGGTGCTGTCCCATCCTGGGGACACCCAAATGTGGCCTGTCCCCACCCTGGGACACCCAAACACGGCCTGTCCCCACCCTGGGACACCCAAATGTGGCCTGTCCTCATCCTGAGGGCACCCAAACACAGCCTGTCCCCATCCTGGGGGCTGGAGGTGCTGGGCTGTGCCCTGGGGATGCTGTCCCCATCTTGGGGACACCCAAACGTGGCCTGTCCCCATCCTGGGGCACCCAAATGTGGCCTGTCCCCATCCTGGGGACACCCAAATGTGACCTATCCCCACCTTGGGGACACCCAAACATGGCCTGTCCCCATCCTGGGGCACCCAAACACGGCCTGTCCTACTCTGGGGGCACCCAAACACGGCCTGTCCCCATCTTGGGGACGCCCAAACAGGGCCTGTCCCCATCCTGGGAGCACCCAAATGTGACCTGTTCCCCCAAATGTGACCTGTCCCCATCCTGGGGACACCCAAATGTTCTTGTCCCCACCCATGGGACACCCAAACACAGCCTGTCCCCATTTTGGGGACACCCAAACGTGGCCTATCCCCACCCATGGGACACCCAAACCCTGCTGGCTCCCACAGGCTGCCCCAGGTGTCCCGGCCATGCCAGCCCAAGACAGCTCAGGAGAGGATGAGGACAGCGAGGAGGAGGAAGAGGAGGATGAGGATGATGAAGGCCTCACGGAGGAGCGCTGGGTGCCTGAGGAAGGGGCTGGGCAGGACCTGGCGCAGCACCTGCATGGGGAAGGTGGGTGGGGGGCTCCAGACCCCCCAGCTGGGCTTGGCTGAGGGGGGGGATCCTGCTGGACCCTGCTGGACCCTGGTGGACCCTGCTGGATCCTTTGTCACCCTCTGGTGTCCCCAGGGCTGGCCGGGCCCCTGCGGTGGCTGCAGAGCTGCCTGAGGAGAGCAGCAGAGGACAGAGAGGAGGACGGTGAGCGGGGTCAGGGTGGGCTGGGGTGGGTTGTGGGGTCGGGGTCCCCCTGACAGCGCTGTCCCACCCCAGGTGTGTCCCACCCGGTGCCGCTGGTGCCGCTCACGGAGGAGAACGAGGATGCCATGGAGGATCGGCGCTTCCGGAACCTTCTGCGGCAGCTGGGGCTGCGGCCGCCCGCCAGCGAGCAGGTGAGGTCCCTGTCCCCATCCGGCCTTGTCCCCATCTCTGTTCCCAAGCATCCCTGTCCCCATCCCCCTGTCCCCATCCCCATCCCCGTCCTTGTCCCCATCCATCCCTGTCCCCATCCCTATCCCCATCCCCTCGTCCCCATCCCTGTCCCCATCTCTGTCCCCATCCAGCCTTGTCCCCATCTCTGTTCCCATGCATCCCTGTCCCCATCCCCTTGTCCCCATCCCCTTGTCCCCATCCCCTTGTCCCCATCCTTCTGTCCCCATCCCTGTTCCCATCCATCCCTGTTCCCATCCATCCCTTTGTCCCCATCCCCTTGTCCCCATCTCTGTCCCCATCCCCTCGTCCCCACCCCTTGTCCCCATCCCTATCCCCATCCCCTTGTCCCCATCCCCTTGTCCCCATCCTTGTCCCCATCCCCTCGTCCCCATCCCTGTGGAAAGTTTGCAGGCAACCCCAACAAGGGAAGAGATGAGAATCTTAATCTCCATGTTTCAAAAGGCTGATTTATTATTTTATGATAAATATATTACATTAAAAGATATATATATATATTATATTAAAAGAAAATAATATATTAAAATTATACTAAAAGAGTATAAGAAAATATTTCATCAGAAGGCTAGCAAGGAATAGAAAAGATAAATAATAATAAAATTATTATTATTAAAATCAGAAATAATAATAAAACAGAAAAAAAATAGTAGTAAATTATTTATCCATTCTATTCCTAGCATGGAATAGAAAGGATAAATAATAAAAAATTACTATTATTAAAATAATAAATAATAATAAAATAGGATAAAATAATAAAATCTTGTGACTCTCAGAGAGTCTGAGACAGCCGGATGGTGCTTGGCCATTAGATAAAAACAACCACATGAGACCAATCAAAGATGCACCTGTTGCATTCCACAGCAGCAGAAAATTATTTACATTTTGTTTCTGAGGCCTCTCAGCTTCTCAGGAAAAAAAATACTCAGGATTTTTCAGAAAATATCATGGCTACACGTTACTAGCAAAGGGATTTTTCAGAAAATATCATAGCTACACCTTAGGAGAAAAATCCTAGGGATTTTTCAGAAAATATCATGGCTACACCTTGGGAAAAAAAATTCTCAGGATTTTTTAGAAAATATCGTGGGCTACACCTTAGTAGAAAAATCCTATGGATTTTTCAGAAAATATCATGGCTACAAAAATCCTGGTGAAGGGATTTTTCAGAAGATATCATGGCTACAACTTAGGAGAAAAATCCTAGGGATTTTTCAGAAACAAAAATCCTGGCAAAAGGATTTTTCAGAAAATATCATGGCTACACCTTACTAGCAGAGGCATTTTTCAGAAAATATCATGGCTGCACCTTAGGAAAAAATCCTAGCAAAGGAATTTTCAGAAAATATCATGGCTACACCTTAGGAGGAAAATCCTGGTAAAGGGATTTTTCAGAAAATATCATGGCTACACCTTAGGGAAAAAAACCCTGGCAAAGGAAACGTGCAGAAAATATCGTGGCTACACTTTAGGAGAAAAATCCTAGGGAATTTTCAGAAAATATCATGGCCCTGCAATGTCCCCCTCTCCCCCAGGAATCCTTCTGGCGCATCCCGGCCGCCCTCACCCCGCAGCAGCTCCGTCGTGCAGCCTCCTCCATCACCTACCATGGACCTTCAGGGTCCCCCCAGGACCTTCCAGAGCCCCCCAGGTGCCCCCAGGATGGGGCTGCAGGTGAGGGGTGGGGCTGGGGGGGGGTGTGGGACCCCCAGATTTGGGCTGGCTCTGAGCCCCCCCCTCTTTGTGCCCCTCTGCAGAGCCGCTGATGGCAGCGCTGGGATCGGACTCGGAGAGGTGAGAGCAGAGCCCCCATCTCAGCTTTTGGGGTGCTGGTTTTTTTGGGGAGGGGTCTTCTCCCTGCCTGGGGAGGGGATTCAGCCCCCTGCGTTGTCCCTGCAGTGAGGAGCCTGTCCCTGTCCCCGTCCCTGTCCCCAGCCCGGTGCTGGCGCGCACCAAGAGGCGCCGGGAGGTCGCCAGCGAGGATGAGGATGAGGATGAGGATGGTGGGAGCTCAGGTGGGTTTGTTAGCATTCAGAAACACATATTATGTTGGTGCTTTTTATTAAGAGCTCTGGGAATCAGGGGTATTTTCCACCCAAATCTGACTCTGCCCATACATTCGAGAGGATCGTGTTTTTATATTCTGTCGTTATATAACTTTCATGTTAATTATTAAATGATTATGTTGGTGCTTTTTATTAAGAGCTCTGGGAATCAGGGGTATTTTCCACCCAAATCTGACTCTGCCCATACATTCGACATGATCGTGTTTTTATATTCTGTCATTATATAACTTTCATGTTAATTATTAAACTTATATTGTTCTATTGTTTACGTAGATTTCAGCCAAGCATAGCCCCCCCTTAAATTTCCAACATAGTTCCTCATGACTCTTCTTATGATTATATAATAATTATATTTAATTGCTAAACAATCATCACACCTAATAATTATATCATTTATGTACTGCTTATGCAGGTGCAATGATCTGGGAAAACACAAAGCCTAACGTTTCAGAGTCTAATTTAACATTTTCCCAGGGCCCCACTGTCCTGTTCAGCCCCTCTGCTTGCTCCTGGGGTCGGGGTTGTCCTGTCCCTGTCCCCTTTGTCACATCCCTGGGGGGCTCAGCCCTCTCCCCTCTCCCTCCATCCACAGGAACCGAGCCACCCCCGCCAGCTCCTCGCTCTGAGGAGGATGAGGATGAGGATGAGGAAGATCCACAGCCCCGGGGGAGGAGGAAGCGCATCCGCTGCCTGGAAGAGGAAGAGGAGGAGGACTGAGAAGCTTCTCTGTGCCCAGGCCTTGTGCTGTTTCCTGGGCTTTTTGCAGATTTTATTGGATTTCTGCAGCTTTTCTGCAGTTTTTCTTGGGTTTTCTAGGTTTTATGGGGTTTCTACAGATTGCCTTCTGCAGGTTTTGATGCTGTTTTTAAAAGCTGCACAACCAACCAGTTTCTCCACCTTCCCCTGCTGTCACCATCTCCCTGTTTTACCCCAAATTCCCTCCCTTTTTCCTCAGCCGTTGGGGTTTCGGTGTTTTTTTTTTTTTTTCTTAAAACTTTTTAAATCTAGACAAGGCCTAAATAAACACAAGTGACTTTTGCCCTCCTTGGGTGTGTGTGGGTCTGCAGGGGGCTCGGAGCCTCCCTGGCCTCAGGGAGTGCTTGGTCCCTGTCCCTGTGTCGCAATTCCGCGATAACCAGGGCTATAAAGGGGTCACGGGGCCGGGCTGGCCGCAGTCACCGGCCAGGGGAGGGGACAGCAGGACAGGGGACAGCAGGACAGGTGAGGTGGCACAGGGTGGGCACGGGGGGCTGCGGGCACGGGGGTCTGACTCAGCTCTGTCCTTATCCCAGCGCTGCCACCATGCCCTGCATTCTGCTCTTCCTCCCTCTCCTCATCCTCAACCATGCCATGGCTGCGTCCATCATCACCCCCGCGCTGGCTGATGGTGACCGGGCACTGCTGGCGGAGCTGGCAGCGCTGGCAGAGCCCGTCCCACCGCGGGCACCGTGCCAAAGCCTCCATCCTCATCGCCTCCCCGGCTTCTCCCGGCTGCCAGCGCTGCCCCGCGGGCTGGCCCGCGCTGCCCTGACCCTGGCACTGCTCAAAGCCGGCTGCGCCCCCCAGGCTGAGGCCGAGACAATGGAGCTGGCACGGGATGTGGGCACCACCACGGCCGCGGCGCTGCTGCGGGGGCTGGCGCGGGTACCGGGCGCTCCTGCCCCGCCGCCGCCGCTGGCGCTGCTGCTGCTCAGGCTGGCACTGAGCCCGGGGGGCTCTGCCTGTGCAGATCCCCCCGTGCCAGGCACGGAGCACAACGGCACGGAGCCCGCGCCACCCCCGAGCCGGGAAAACCGGGAATTCCCGCCGTGCCGCGGCAGGGAGGATGAGGGTGAGGATGAGGATGCCCGCGGCGCCGTGCGGCGGCACCGGCGGGAGGATGATGATGAGGATGCTCACAGCGCTGTGCGGCGGCACCGGAGGGAGGCTGAGGATGCCTGCAGCCCACTGGGGGAACGGGAGGCGCACCGGGTGCTGGATTGGGTACCGGGAGTCAGCATCTTCTACAACCTCGGCACCAGCGTCTACTTCGCCTTCCAGGGCTGCGAATCCAAGGCGTCCACCCGAGCGCTGGAAGCCGCCGAGGATTTGGGTTACGCGGGGCTGGCGGCGCTCACCGGCGGTTTGGGGGGCCCGGTGGCCATGGGGGTGCAGCTGGGGCTGCAGCCGGGGCTCAAGGCCGGGGTGAGGGCGCTCATCGGGTATTTCACCTCGGCCGGGGAGCCCTCGCCGGTGCCCACCGCGCACAGCGGCGCCGTGGTTATCGTGTGAATGAATAAAGGGCACGTGTGGCAGGTGCTGCTGGCGGGTCGGTGTTTGGGGACGGATCGATGCGAGGTCACCCTGCCCTGGGGCGGCCGGAGCTTGGCCATGTGGTGGCTTGAGGCACGTGGTGGCAGCTGGGCTGGGCTGGTCCCTGTCCCCTACAGCCCCAGCCCTGTCCCCGTCCCAGCGGCCACACTGCCTTGTCCCTGTCCCTATGGCTCTTTCCTTCCAGCCTGTCCCTGTCCCCATGGCCCTGTCCCCATCCCTGCAGTTTTTCCCTGTCTCCCTGACTCTGTACCACTGTCCCCACAGCTTGTCACTGTCCCCACAGTTGTCCCCATGCTTTGTTCCCATCCCCATGGCCTGTCCCCATTGCTCATCTTGCTGTCCCAATGGCCTGTCCCTGTCCCCATAGCTCTGATCCCAGGGCTCTATCCCTGCTCCCATAACCTGTCCCTAAAGCTCTGTCCTTGTCCCCATGGCTCTGTCCCCGTCCCCAAGCTGTCTCTGTCCCCAGGCTGTCCCTATCCCCCTGGCTCTGTCCCCATGACCTGTTGCTGTCACTGTCCACCTGTCCCCATGGCCTGTCCCGGTCCCCAGGCTGTCCCCATCCCCCTGGCTCTGTCGCTGTCTCTCTGTCCTTCTGTCGCTCTCGGTCCCCCTGACTCTGTCCCTGTCCCAATGGCCTGTCCCGGTCCCCTCCGTCTCTGCCCCTGTCCCCATGGCTCTGTTCCTGTCCTTACGCCCTGCCCCTGTCCCCATGGCCTGTCCCGGTCCCCTCTGTCCCCGTCCCTGTCCCCCCACCCATCCCGGTCCCGCCGCCATTCCCTCCCCCGTTCACCGCTGGCCACGCCCATGGCCACGCCCCTAAAATATCCCGCCCAATGGCCACGCCCCCGTCTGTGACGTAAAACTGGGGAAATGAACAAACCCTCCCAAAGCCGGCGGTTACGGGGGCGCGGCCTTTTCGCCGCTCTCCACCAATCACCGAGCAGAGCGGGGAGGGGGCGTGGCCAGCCCACCTTCCTGCTCCGGTGCCGCCTGAGGTGGGTTGGGGGTCCTGGGGGGGGGGACGTGGGCGGTTCTGGAGCCCGGGGCGCCCCCGGGGAGGGGGGCACAGGCAGGGGACCCCGGCTGGGGCACACACAGCGACCCTTGGAGGGCCGTCCCGCTGGGGCGGGGGGCGTTCGGGGGCACCCACCCCACTGGGGATGGGGTTCAATGCCCTGGGGGGGTTCAGTGGGAGTCCGGTCTAGGGGGGAGTTTGAGGAGGGGTCTGGGGGCTCTCGTGTAGGCGTTCTGTGCGTGTGCCCCCCGCTCAGGGTGGGGAAATCCCCCTGGGCTCACCCCCTGCTCCCACCGCAGGACGCGGCTGCCGGTCCGCGACCACCGCAGCGGGAGCGAGGGGACCCCCGGGAGCTGCCGGCAAAGCAGAGGGACCCTCGGGACCACCCAAGAACTGAGCAGAGGGACCCCCGGGAGCAGCCAGGACCGAGCAGGAGCACAGGGACCCCCGGGAGCACCCAGAGCCGAATAGGAGCAGAGGGACCTCCGAGAGGAGCCAGGACAGAGCAGGAGCCGAGAGACCCCCGGGAGCAGCCGGGATTAATTAAGTAGGAGCAGAGGGACCCCCGCGACCGCCCAGGAACCGAGCAGGAGCTCAGGGACCCCCAGAAGCAACCAGGACCGAGCAGGAGCGAGGGGACATCCGGGACCACCCAGAACCACAGCAGAGGGACCCCCGAGATCGAGCAGGGGCAGAGGGACCTCTGGGACCGAAGAGGAGTGAGGGGACCCCCGGGACCACCCACAACCAGAGCAGAAGGACCCCTGGGACCGAGCAGGAGCAGAGGGGACCGCCAGGGACCACTCAGAGTCGAACAGGAGCAGAGGAACCCCCGGGAGCAGCGCGACCCCCGGGAGCGGCGGTTCCCCCGTGCACCAGCGGGCAGGTACGTGGGGTGCAGATGTTCCCAGCTGTGACACGCGGCCGTTTCTCACCCTCCGGTCCCTCCGTGACCCCGGGGGGTCTCCGGGACGCCCCTGACCCTCTGTGTGCCCCCCAGCATGGCGCAGTGGCAAGAGGTGCAGGGCTTGGCCAACGCTTACCTGGAGCAGGTGGACCAGCTGTACGCGGGCTCGGCGCTGCCCATGGCCGTGCGCCAGTCCCTGGCGGCCTGGATCGAGAGCCAGAACTGGTACCGGGGGGAAAACGGGGCTGGGGGCGGTACCGGGGGGAGAACAGGGGCTAGGGGCGGTACCGGGGCTGGGGGTGGCACCGGGAGGGCGTGGCAGTGTTTGAGGGTGGCCAGGATGAGGGAAAGGATGAAAATCTTGAGTTCATGTTTGAGAAGGCTGATATATGATATGATATGATATGATATGATATGATATGATATGATATTGTATTGTATTATATTGTATTATATTGTATTGTATTATATTATATTATATTAGCTATAGAGTATGGCTAATATAATATAATATAACATGATATAATATGATATAATATAACAGGATATAATATGATATAATATAATATATATTATTTGCTATATAGTATAGCATTTTTAATATGATATAATCTAATATGATATGATACAATATGATATGACATCATATGATATTATATAATTACTATGCTAAAACTGTAAAACACTATACTATACTAAATATATAATATAATGCTATACTAAAAGAATAGAAGAAAGAGTTTCATCAGAAAGCTAGAAAGGAATGAATAATAAACTGACTTTCCAGTTTCAGAAGGCTTATATATAATATCTATCATATCTCATATAATATATCATAAATCATGTAATATTATATGAAAATAATATATAATATACTTTATATAATAGATATTATTTGCTATATAGATGACCATTTGCTATACTAAAACTATACTAAAAGAATAGAAGAAAGGGTTTCATCAGAAAGCTAGAAAGGAATGAATAATAAACTGACTTTCCTGTTTCAGAAGGCTTATATTATATTATATTATATTACATGACATGACATGACATTACATTATCTATATAGTATAGCATTATATATTATTTGCTATATACTATAGCATTTTTAATTTAATATAATTACTATACGAAAACTGTAAAAACCATACTATACTAAAAATATAATATCATATAATACTATACTAAAAGAGTAGAAGAAAGGGTTTCATCAGAAAGCTAGAAAGGAATGAATAATAAACTGACTTTCCAGTTTCAGAAGGCTTATATTATATTATATTATATTATAATCATTGGGTCAGGGGGGTGAAAAAACCTTGGCAAAGGGACTTTTATAAAACAAAAAAGGGATTTTTATAAAATAAAAAAGGGATTTTTATATAAAAAGGGATTTTTATAAGATACCCCAGTGGGAGCGGGGCCCGGGTGAGGCTGAGCCCGCGGTCCCGCAGGCGCCAGGCGGCGGAGCCGCTCTGCTCGCACGCCCGCATCCTGTTCCACTCCTTACTGGTGTTACTGGGAGAGCGCGTGGGCAGCCTGGGCTCGGACCGCGAGGATCTCACGCTGAAGCACAACCTCCGCAAGGCCCACCGCGAGCTCCAGGTGGGCTTCGGGGCAGGGGGAGGGCGGTGGGGAGGGGTCTCCGTGCCGCCCTCACCGCCCCGAGCCCTCCCCAGGCTGAGTTCCAGGAGAAGCCGGAGAGATTCGCCAACCTGGTGGCCAACCTGCTGCAGGAGGAGCGGCGGATCCTGCGCCTCGGGCAGGCCGGGGGGCAGGTAGGGAAGGGGTCTGTGATCCCCCCAGCCCATCCCGGGGGTCCCCCGGCCGCGCCCCCCACCCCATTTCTCCCTCCTTAGGAGGGGTCGGTGCCCGCGCCCAGACCAGCTTTGGAGGGCGGGAGGGAGCAGCAGATCCAGCGGCGTTTGGCTGAGTTCCACACAGCCCTGCAGGTAACCCCCCGACCCCTGAGACCCCCGAGACCCCCTCCGAGCCCCCCGACCCCTCCTCACCCGCCCTGTGCCCGCAGGAAGCCGAACGAGCCTTCAGGCACCTGGAGGATTTGCAGGATGCCTTCGACTTCTGCTTCAAGGTGCATTACCGGCCAGGTGAGCCCCACACTGGGAAAATGGGGGGGCGGGCACTGCCCTGTGAACCCCCCAAAACCCTGAGTGAGCCCCCCAGAACCCTGATCGAGCTGCCCTACCCTCAGGTGACGACAAGAACCAGGACCCCGCGTACCTGCAGGAGCTCCAATCCCTCCAAGCCAAACTGCAGAACCTGGACCGGCAGCGGCGGGTGAGGAGGGGGAGATCGGGGTGGATTTTGGGGGGTCCTACCCACCTTGAGTACCCCATTCACAGCCAGATCTCCCCCCAGGAGGTGCTGGCGCAGATGCAGCAGCTTTTGGGGCGCAGTGAGACCCTGCAGGAGCTGCTGCAGCAGGAATTGGGGGGCTGGAGGGCGCGGCAGCAGCGCCTGTGCTTGGGGGGCTCCGCCGACACCAACCTGCGCCCGCTGGAGACCTGGTAGGATCTGGGGGGCTTTGGGAGGCTCGGGGGGCTTCAGGCGGACCCCTCTGAGCTCCCTGAACCCCTGCAGGTTCACGGAGCTGGGCCAGGGGTTGTTCCAGCTGCGGCAGCTGCTGCGGGCGCTGGGGGACCTGCGACAGAAGGTGACCTACGCCAGGGACCCGCTGGTGGCAGAGACGCCCCTGCTGGAGCAGAGGCTGCAGGAGCAGCTCACGCACCTGCTCAAGAGGTGGGCTGGGCCAGGAGGGCTCCAGGGTGGAGAGCAGGAGAAGGTGTTTCCACCCAGAGGGTGGTGGAGAGCTGGGGAAGGTCTCCAGGGAATGGTGGCCAAGGGTGACAGAGATCCGGGAGTGTTTGGACAACAATGGGGTGGGATTTTGGGGTGTTTGTGCAGGGTCTGGATGGTCCTTGCAGCTCTGGATGATTCAGGAGGTCTCCAGGGAATGGTGACCAAGGGTGACAGAGATCTTTTGGAGAAGGCTCTTGGGGACAGAGTGGGATTTTG